AACAAAGAAGAACAAGATCAAAAACCAAGGGCTTGTACAAATGGTTTCGTCTTGTCTCTCTTTGTTTATAGCCCTTCGAAGGGGCTGCCGGACCGTCTGCCTCCCTCCTCCCCCCGAGCAGTGCCTCGGCTGGCACTCCGGCCGGCCGGCGGACTATGAAAGCAGCCATACTTGTAAGCACAGCAAGGACGAGCGTGTCTCCAGGACCATTTGACGCTCCGTGCGAAGGAAGTGCAAGGGAAGGTTTCATGGATATCAATGAGCGATGATTGTAGCAATAGGTGATATCGAGAAGATAAGAAAGATCATCCCATCAAATCAGATGAACAGATCGATGGAAGTGAAAAATCCCGAAGAGAGCCAACGCTGACAAGTCAAAGTATAGCTAATCTCCTCCGTAAAGGAAAGTGGCAAAACTTAAAATTCAGCTATTCGCCAAGGCATCAACGTTTCTAAAAACTTCTTACAACTAGACGACAATGAAACGAAGCTATCAGTTTGTTATCTAAGGCCAAAACTGCGCACGTTTGAACGATTGAAAGGAGCCCTCCCATCTTCCCCACGCACTACAGTACATATTCACACCGTCGACATCCACCGTGTTGACGACTGTAGATAGATAAAAATTTCTCTTATTTTCAAAGCAGAAAATCGGTGTGTCGGTTTGCCTGTTTTTCGGTCTGTCCGTCCGCAAAATTTATGATTACGATAAAGGGAGTGATATGGAAAACCTTGCTCTGTTCTACACTTCCTTCTTATATCAAGGCAGTAACTTGGTAGATAGGTTGATGGAGTAGAGTGAGTACTGTGGAGTAAAGTGAGTGATGTGGAGTGAAGAGGGTACTGCAAGACCGACATCGTGCTATGTATGTCTTTACAAAAATCGGAGATGATAATGTAGTTGGGAGACCGCCTTTTTCTACATCATTTCAGGTGGGAGGGGTCAATTGAATATTCAACTCATACCCCATCCCAGCTTTTTGCACGAGTTAATAATTTACCCACACCTCGTCATTTCTCCCCCGCTGAGGCTTNAGGTCGGCTACCCCTCCTCTGCACTCTAGCCCTCGGTGTTGGATAAAATCAATGGATGCTCCCCTCCCCTCCCCTCCTAACTACCCTTTCTGACTATTTGATGAAAGTAAGGAATGAGGCCCGGCGCAAGAGGGGCAACCCGATTGCTGAGGTGCTAAGCTACCAGAAATGCCATGTTCGTGCAATTTCCAGAATTGGCATACCTTGTTTCCGTTGTTGCTCTGTTTCTATTGTTGCTGTGGACCATTTTATTACATTGTCTAATTACACGATATGAACTGTTCCGGCTATTATAACTTACTTTCTGCTTTGCTTATTATCAATTACTTTTTAAAAATTCCCTGAAGTGGGACAAATGTTTTCAAAACGTTGCAATGATATATTGCAACGCATAAATACGACGACACAACGTATACAACGCATTGCTTTACCTCTGCTGAAGAGTACCATCATTCCATGAGGCTAACACGGCCGGCTCTCAGAAGAGAAATGAACAACACTGCTAGAACTTACCTTTGGCTGTTATATCCTACCAATCACTACTAGCTCGCAAACAAAAAACGGCTCCTCTAACCTGACAAGTTGGCCGATCTCTTTACAACTCGCATCTTGATTGAGCCACAGCTAAACGGGGGGATCTAACGAGGGCGGTCTTCCTGGGTGTGGGATGCTTTTTGAGAATGGTTTTTTGCATGGTGTAGGGGCATGAGCACTGAGTACAGATCTATGATCCATTTCCGCTGAACGGCCTTCTGAATGCCGAAAAAGGAGTAAAAATGATTTTGTCAGAAATTGTCGTTTTAACCCACTAAGCGTCGTTTGTTTCATTCATGGCGTCGACTTTTCGCATAGTAGAAGGCGCCAGTGGACTGCGCATTGAAAATAACGTGAACGTTAGCCAAAAAGGGGTGTTGTTGAGCCAACATGTTGAAAAAAGCGGGGAAGTTTCATAGTTAAGCTCGACCATCAACTCAGCCTTGTCAACCATCAACTCGAAGCGTACATCGCTATCCACTACACCATATGTTGCTGCCAGCAGCTCAACCTTGGACAGCCCCTATGAAAATTCTCCGCACTTTCCAACATGTTGGCTCAATAATATCCCTTTTTGGCTACCGTTCACATTATTTTCAATGCACAGTTCACTGGCACCTTCTACTGTGCGGACAGTTGACGCCATGAATGAAACAAATGACGCTTAACAGGGTTGAAATGGCAATTTCTGACAAAATCATTTCCACTGTTTTTTTGGCATTCATAAGGCCATTTAGCGGAAATGGACCATAGTTCTAATTCAGTGCTCATGCCCCTACACGATGCAAAAACCATTTTCAAAAAGCGTCCCATGCCCTGAAAGACCTCCGTCGTAAGGCGTCAGGTTCCAAAGCTGGCAAGGATATCTCCATCAAATGTTTTTTTTTCTATTTACCTTCGAACTTTTGTGAAAAAGCAAGGACACATGTAACTCTTTATTCATTCGACCCCATTAACGGCTTCCTGCTGGGGCTTAGGCTTCCCTTGCCATGTGCATAACCGTCTTCCCACACTCGGATTCGAACTCAATGGCTTGGTTTGCATACAGGAATACTAATCGAGTACCTCAATTGAGGTGATGCACATTACCACTTACTTTGCAGGGTGGCCTGTAACGAAAAGGATTCCTACCCGAATATGGGGTATCACTATTGAGAACATCATAAATCACTCGTAGCCTTTCCTCTTCTTATTCGTTTTTATGCAGCCCTTTTATAATTAACACAAATGCAAAAAGAGCCTACCAGATGGGCCGGAGCTTTTCAGCATGGAATCCTGCCTAAGCACTTACTAGCCGTGAAGTTGTTGACACACTAACTCTACGATGAAGCAACCATTTCACTTTAATCTCGCAGTTATCACCAAAAACATCGACCATTCCTCCAAATTCAAAATGAATTTGCGGGCTAACAAGTTTTGTTGATATGGTGTTGCCTACATCTCAACTAGGAGACGGCTAGTTGAATCAGTCGGTGTTGGCAACCTCACTCGACTTCAGCTTTTCTCATTAGTTCGCTACAGCTATTTCTATGCGTAATGATGAGAAATATTGCTGCTCAGCCGTCGGTCAATACGTAAACCTTAGTATTATCACACGTCGATGAGGGATGAGTATAATGAGCATTTTCCNTTTCTCATTAGTTCGCTACAGCTATTTCTATGCGTAATGATGAGAAATATTGCTGCTCAGCCGTCGGTCAATATGTGAACCTTAGCATTACCACACGTCGATGAAGGATGAGTATAATGAGCATTTTCCCGGCAACGGTCTGGGTAAAAAGATTTGATTTGAGAAAAAAAATCAAAAAGGAATCAGTTGGCGGAAACAATGAAACACAGAAGAAAGTATGAAACTGTTACTAACAGTTGCTAAGCACACGCAGCCACACCCATACCCAGACCTACACCCACACCCAGGGTGTGGTGCAGTGGGATAGGATCCAAAATGTCGCGTCGCAGGGTCTCTCTCGCCGCGACGCGACAGCTTGGATCCTACTGCACCACACCCTGGCTGTGTGTGTGGGGCTGGGTGGGACGAAGGAATGTAGCAGAACGTAGCAGCAAGTAAGAAATACAGGAACAAAAGAGCTAACATTAGAGTCATGCCAAAAATAGTGATCGCATATCGATTGAGCTGTATGAAGAGTGCTAGAACCGTAATAAGCGAATGGTCTGCGACAGTCGTGCGCGGCGAATCGATTACACAAAACCGATCCTACTGCCCATCTCCCCCCACACCCACACACAGACAAACCAACAGGCACACTTTAAGAGGGACTTGAAGTGCCGAAACGCTTCTCATATTACTTGTTATTCGAATGGGTAGGCAGCGATCTCAGTTAGAGAGAAAAAGTCATCGCTTCGTCCATTGATGCACATTTTGGGGGACAAATTATAAATAGATGAGAGAGGTTCTGAGGACATGAGCATTTCTACCGTAAACTTGTGCTTCAGAACCGCAGCCACATGAATAACCACACACTTCCTGTAACATATCATCTGCCTCAATTTTCGTCTATATTACCCATCATGAATACAGATCAAAGGTGGAGCTTCTCATGTTGCAAAAAAGTGCTCATTTCCCGTCTCATAGAACCGTCCAAGCATACTGTATCCTACAATCAGACTAGAGTTCTGACTTTGAAACGTGAGCACAAATGCATGGTACGCCTCATCACTGAGAACCTTCAGAAATGAAAACCTTCTACACTGAAAGGAGGCTACAATGAAAGTTCGAAAGGCAGTTCCTTAACCATTGCGCTATTTCACAAAGAAGTCCACTCTATCGTGCGATCCATTACCTTTGCGCAGGATCCACAAACGCAACTTATACTGATTTGGTGTTTTGTTGAGTGCTATTACTCGATACGAAAGCCTCATAAGGTTGGCGAGTTGTGGACAAAACTTTGGCCTCGGACGAAACTCAATTCAATGGTGTTCGGGCAGCGTGCTATCCGGGTAATCCGGGCAACATGTACTAGCGCCATGTATACGGCCATTTACGCAGATTAATATCGACGAATACCACCGAATTGAAATGTTCATCATATCGTCTTCCTATAAGTTTAAATGTTATGAAGATGTGGTGTCAAGCTCTTCAAAGACAAAGCATTTTATGCTAATATACATGATTACACTATCAAGGCCATTATGAAGACACAAGAGAATACGCATGCAATCACTTCAATCAAAAAGGTGAGATCGTGCATTACTTTTACAAAGAACATTGCATTGGTTAGATGCCAGTTTTCAAACGTCATTCGAACAGAATGGATGGTTACTGAAGCCCAAACCAGCAAAACATAAAAGCAATGCAAAATTAAAGTTTCCTAGGGTACAGATTGAGAAGTTTCTCACTTCTCATAAACATTGTGTAAAAATGTTACAGGAAAAAGAGATCACGTAAGCTCTCAGGCATCAACTCTGAATCTCTATGTATCATTCCTTGACAGATTTGCATAATCGCTGGTGCTTTGAACAGTGGAGTTGAGAAGAGGTCTTCTGAAAAATAAAATATGCCAGGTTCAAGAGCACTTCTACCACAATCAAGTTTTCAAAACCCCGTGAATATGCTACACAGTAACCCGAACTCATACTCATGCGCGTCGAAACACCCGCCGCGTATACGAAAAGGTACACTGGATGAGACCCACGGGGTGGGCTGGTTATACGAGGAATTACTGTATCACACGTTGAAATCTGCTCTCTTCAAGCGAATAGTAAATGTACAGACAGACCTGGGAGATTGAATTTTGAGAATCTTCGTACGAGCCAGTTTCTTAGCTAGTCGCACACCTGACGATGCACGGTTTGGTTGAGATTGAGATCGTTTCTTTGCCAGACCAGAAGCGCTTATTTCACGGAGACGAGCACTATAATACCGGATGCGTACTTCTCAACAAAATGTGTAAGGAAAAATAAGAAATTTGTGTTGTTCATAGTCGAAAAATAAACGAGATATGCTGGCCTAAAGAAATCAACTATGCACAGGACAATGATAGCGCGCAAAACAACAGGGAACGAAATAGAACTTACATTACTCCCGTTTTCTTTTGACAAAAACGCGGAGTTGGTGCCCGATCGGGAGTGCGAAGAATGTTGCTATCATTGTCAAATTCGTATCCAACCAAACTCGATTCAGCAACGTTCGGCGTAGTGTACACATTCCTCTGGCAAAGGCGAAAGAATATATAATCGGTAACTACAAAGTTTAAGATTTTATGAACAGTGTTACCTTGTTGCAAACGGTGAGTGGAGGAATTATTCTCACATGAGAGGTAGGTGAAGGAGACCGAGATTCGTTAAGAGGACGGATCGCACGTTTATGTCGTACGGTTTTTTCAGCTTCGGTTAACTTCTGCAACAATCATAGAAATAGGAAGCACTAATACGAACGATTGTACCATTGACACTAGCTGTATTTCAGCAGTAGCTCTACCGGGAAGCCTAAAAGAAGGATTGTTTCCTACATACAAAGATGTTCGCACCCGAAAACAAACGAGAGAATGGAAAATCACAGAAAGGCGACCACTATCTCTACCAATGAAATACTGAAATATATTCAAAAAAAGAGAGCAAATATTTAAGCGGAGGACTACGTCTTCAGATTAGGGCAAGAATCAAATCCCTCTAAAAATAGAGTAATGCAATAATTGAAGAGCACAACTAACTGGCCATAAGGTTACCAAGCAACATTTTTTGTGCTCGACAAAATCGGTACCAGCAGCTACTGCTGGGAAGAGGATGACTGTAAAGTTCTCAGCACATATCCGCTTATTTACCCCATTTTGAGAAATGTACATATATCCTTGAATAATGTGATTGATAAAAAATACGCAATTTTTGCAACCATAAACTTCTTCTTAAAAGTTTTTCTGTCATCGGTTATGAAAAAAAGGATACCACAGGTGGTGAGTTATATTCCTTACCCACCTAAATGTAATGAAAGCATTACCTGAAACTTAACAGCATTGCTACAAAAAGTTTTTTCAGTTGCTTTTAAATCTTAGGTTTTCTTTTAGAGTCGAATTCTGGATCAACGTCTACTCCAGCTAATCAAGCTCTGCAACCCTACTGGATCGGTTTAATGGCAGAAGACTCGCATGTGAAGTTTAAAACAATGGTTTTATCGCCTGGAACGTGCGACTCATTCAAAGGCCAAATGTGTATTTATTCATGCTACGATTATGAATGGCGTTCGAGTTTGAGGACAGAATTCACTATTGGGATTGTTGAGTTCAATGAACTTCAGAATTCTCCCTATGTGCTCCCCTCTCTCCTAACTGCAGGGCTACGGTTTTCCATTCTTACTTAAATATGACTCTATTATACAATTGCGGAAGAAAAGTGGGTCTCTAAAAACATCGGAAAATATGAGAAACGAACGAAACAGAAACGAAATGTTCAGGTAATAGTAGTTAAACAAGATTCACCTTCTTTATATTGGCCATGATTTTACTAGAAGATCTGCGTAGACTCTTATACACCATATTTTTCCGATATCGATGATGTTCTCCATCGCTACCAATGGTAACATTCATAAGAAATAGTAAGGAACGCCTGAAAGAATATCGACACTAGTTAAAAAGAACTCGTTATATTGGAGCTTTTGGGAAATGCTATTCATTAAATCCACGGCCAAAAATCTCGTCGTAATCGTCGGCTTCTGAGGCCTAAACGCAACCAGAAATGATTTCCGCAATATCCAACAATCGTTTAATCCTCTCTATTTACATCTTGATGTCTTTTTTATACGAAAGATTTACGACGATTACGTCGAAACGCCAGACCGGTGATTTAATTAGTTTCACCTAAAGGTCTGAAACGGCAGAGAAACGTAACCAACGCAAACGAACGTCAAAACAAAAGCGAAGTTGGAAACTACAAAAGAAGTTTATTAAGAATGATCACCAACGCAATTTAAAATACGTTAGTTCCCGCCTGCAAGACAAACGGATTTTAGGTAGTTGCCTTGGAGCGCATTATTCACGGGCCAATACGTGGCGCCTATACTGATGTAAAAGTCTTACACTTGGTGCAATTTATTTTTTTCAAATAAAAAAATTGAAAGGATGAAGGGTGAAAATGTGATTAGGGAAGGGGAAGTGCCGGTCTCATCCCACATGGAGTGCTAGAGCGCAGTGAAGGAAGAGTAGCCGATTTTACTTGCGCCTATGGTCGGTTCATGGTCAGGAATATGGTTTTTAATTAGCCTCAGAAGGGATGCCCTTCCGAGACTCAGGTAAGAGAAAAGTAATCTCTTTGGTTAAGAAACTTTCTAAGTGCGATTAAGGGCCTACGCTACCGTCTACCTCTCCCTTTTCGCGCTCCAGCGCTCAGGGTCGTAAAAAAGCGCTGGCCTTCCCCCTCCCCTCCCCCTACCCCCATGCTATGTGATTTAACTGTTACGCTTCGCAAGCCTAAAGCTAACAATATCTGTTTTAGGAAAACATAGTCCACGACACAGGATAGATTCAACCTGAAAAGTCCTATCCAGCAAGCCAGTATTTCAGTAGTTCCTATGCTCTTTGCGAGCCTCCGTAAGTGCTGTGAACAATTCGCCGGCGTGAAAATTTTTTTTCAGGGTATTTTTCGAGGTTTATAGAGTTGTCGTAGCTGCTACCTCTCAGAAGATAAGAAATCGAATGAACAGATCATGAGCTGGATAGTAAGAAATTACCAGAGCACTCCGGAAAGACAAACAACGGAGATAAATTTCTTTGTGATTTGTTGCGTTTCCCTGGATACATGGGAGAGTTTTTGCACGAACGAATTACAGTAACAACAAGCTGGATCTTTATAAGAAGGCTGGCCCGCGGCTGGAAGCAGTGAAATAAGCAGAATGCGGTGCGCGGCGCCCGATGGAGACTTCGAATTGTGGGTTTTCCTCATTCCCCTGGGAGGCTGAGGAGGGGGGGGGGGGGGGGGGGGGGGGGGGGTTCCCAGGTTCCCAGTCATTAGGATGTTCCCGTAAGGTCGACTCTGTAGAAGGGATTGGCTAGCAGCTACTGAGCGTTGTGAGTAGATGAGTAGAGAAGGAATAAGCAGTATATACGCGTTTGCGTTGCGCAGCCTTGCCTGAGGAAGTTGAGGTGATGAGATTCGCGAAAGCAAGCCATCGTATCTGGATGGATGAGGCGACTTTCGAAGCAGGCTTGAACTGAGCAGCATGAAAGTACGAATCACAGCTTCAACTTGCTGAATTGTTTGCAGCTAGGATATGGCAGTGGCTTACTAAAGTGTGTAATCCACGTGAAATAACTTTTCATTATCAATGAACTACCTTCTCGTGCCACTGGTGCAACCTCTACAGCCTCTACAACACCGTGAGATCTCGTCCACGTCGGGCGTCTACGCAGGGTAAACCTGTAAAATGGATTCTGAGATGACGAGTGCTCTGTAGAGACTGTAGAGCTCGCACCCCTAGCACCGGGGCCCCCACCTAGCACGCAGGCAGCTCGCTGTGTCCAGCTGCAAGCACGACACACGCTTTTGAATAACTCGTCCAAATAACCTGAAATTGTAATGGGCCTTGCCTTCCACATTTTTCGAAAGTATGGCGATACCAGTGTGGGCATGTCCAGCCATGGAAAACGTAAAGAACTTTTACATGGTCATGTACTTATATTTACAATTTGTGGTCATCCTTCACCTAGGCTTGAAATTACAAAATATCATTTTAACAGGCTGCCAGGTATTCAGTTTTTGCACGCACATCAGTGAAATACTACGATGTCAGTATACCCCCGGCAGCCGCCCTTAGTATTTGTTCAGGTGTAGATTCCGTGTTCGGTTCAGTCCATCTGATCATTGACACCGTGGCTACCCAGTCAACACATATTATCCTCGACATGGACCACAATCAGGATTCTCTGATACGATCACAACTTGAGGCTTTTTTCAGTTGCCGGAATTCATTCAATACAATAATTCTACAATAATTCGTGGTCAACCAACGGTTTGCACCAGATTGTTCCGTCACAAACAGTCGCTTTGCCTTTTTTTTAGTTTTCTGAAATTATAAGATCAAAAAAAGGGGCGGAGGTGGTGTAGTGACATGTGGCGCACTATATCACACGTACGGTCAGAGGTTCGAATCCTGGATCGATGCCCGCCTAAGCCAACCAAGCCTTCCATCCCTCTGGGGTCGGTGAATTGGTACCAGATTCGTCTGGGAGGATAAAGGCACTGACTTGTACATCGGCTGGCCACCGCAAGTCATTGTATAGGCCACACACATTCATTACGCCACTACGATTTTGAATGGAAGTCGAGTGCGGGGGCACATCCCTCAGACGGGGTTGATTAACGCCAAAAACTTTATCCTTTTTATCCTTTTATAGGACCAGAAGATTTTTTTCAAATGCTCCAATCAATTTGAATGTAGGTCGGTAAAAAGTTGTGCACATGAAGTATCCAGAAATATAAATGTTTTTGTCTTTCCGAAATTTTTTGTTCCTAAGAGATTCTTAAGAGAGAGAAAGATTTTGATTTCTAGGAAATTCGAAGATTGAATCTCCAACCATCTAATTACTGTTAATCGCGGAACTAACGGCATCTTCAATCCTCCACATCAACGGGAAACTTCTTTTTCAGTTTTCAACGGTTATGTACAACATTATATTATATTAAAAAAAGCAAGCAAACATTAACGTTTTGAAAACTTCTTACGACAAAATTTAAACGAATGCATCTAAATAGCAGTTCGGATTATTAT